CTTGTGGCTAGAGAAAAGAGAACAAGTCAGTGCGACTAAAGCATGGCGGCAAGACTCAACTATAAATAGACATGCAATGTAATCTAGCAAAGTGGAGTCAACTAAAGGAACTCCCAAACTAGATGGGGAGTGAACCAATAAACTCCCAAACTAAATGGGGAGTAAACAAGCCAACTCCCAAACTAAGGGAGCCAAGAGCTATCCAAACAAAGTTATGTTGAGGAGCCAATAAGCTCACCAAGCTAAGGGAGAAAGAGGGCCAATAAGCCAATAAGCTATGAAGAGGCCAATTAGCTTAACCCGATGTACACCAAGCTATGAACTATTCTCCTCTAATGTAATAAAATTGCTTTGTTCAACTATTGTCCTATTGTCTTAAATCCCTTTACCACATAAACCAACAATGGTATCAGAGTGTCAAAAAACTCATCACACACCTCTAAAATTCCAACAATATTATCTATTAAAGGGAAAGGGAAAACCCAATTAATGTGTTTTCCATTACCAACAATCTGTCTCATACCTTTTAACAACAGAGGCCTGATTTTAAGAATAGATTTCCAACCAGAACTTGTTTGCCTCCTCTGGACAGTAAACGTGACTTCCAACCAGACAGCTTATTTTGAATTCAGAGTAGCAAAACTCTTTAGAAATTTCTTTATCTTTCGAGGAGATGATATCACGAATACCTAAATATTTACCAATAGATAATTTATGCGGAATATTTAAAATACTAGCAATTCCATCCTTTTTATGTCTAAGAACTGAATTAGAAAAATAATTAATAGTAGATTTGTCAAAGTTAACTTTTTGACCAGAAGTTTGCTGGAAAAATTGAAGGAGATTACAAATAGCAAATGCAGCTTTATCACTTGCTTTCACTAACGGTCGATGCACTATTCCAAACACATCATTTTAACCTTAATTTCTTCAAGTTCGATTAATGTCATCGTCTCTTTTTCGGGACAAGAGATAGGTGAAATACTTGACTTCAAGGTGAGTTTTGTACTTCTTTATCCGGAAAATACTTGACTTCTTTACATGCAATGACTCATTTTTACTTACACTCAAAATACAATGTGACAATTGTACATAAATTTTTACTTTTGTGCTTTGAAGGAGTCCATTTTGAATGCGTGTTAGACTAATGGGCGGATAAGAATGAATGAATAGCTCTTATATTGTAATGGCTCAAGTAGGGCTCTTTTCGCCGAAGCTAAAGAAGTTCACAGCCTAATTTCAGTATCCTCCCTTACTAGGCCTAACCAAACACAAATTACATGAGCAGAACGGAGGCTCGAAACCGTTGTATTATATGGAGTTTTGAAGTGTAGGCCTAAATTTCTTCCAACTTTCAATTTGGATTCAAATTGACTCTTGAACTCATCATCATTTAAGATCATCTCCTTCAATGCTATAGATAAAATGTTTACGTGCCAAATCTCATCTTCTCATGAAATTTTGTACCATTACAAAATTGCTGTCGGTGGTCCATATAATTAATTTGATTGAACTAATCACATGGATTTCTTTCTTTGTGCTAGCAAAATCACATGGACTTACTTCAAGGCATTAATTAGTGATAATACAACTGAGGGTTCGTTTGGAACTGCTCATTTAGGAAGTACTTTTGCTCATAAGCACTTTTAACAAAAGCACTTTTATTATAAATACATTGAAATTTTCATATATATGTGTGTGTGTGTGTGTCAAGTGCTATCTAGAAAAAACACTTAGGAGTGCCTTTATAACCCATAAGCACTTCTAAATTTTTCTGCCAAACACAATCAGAAACGCTTTTGATTATTAGAAAGCACTTTTAGCCCTATGAGAAGCATTCCCACACTCAAACTTATCATGTTAAAAGTTAACACACATATTGAGATCATCACGTTCTTTTGTTAGGAAACATCGTCAAATTTGTTCACCCATTTTTGCAATTTTGTTTTTTTGATTATTTTTTAAGATGAGGCTTAAAAATTAAGCCTCATTTAGTTATGGTAAAATATATATGAACGTGGATACTCATATTTTCTTGAGTTTAACTCTGAGGCTCTACTTTCCAACTCTACTTCATCACTTGGGTTATAACTCCAAATGCTTGGATACGAACATATTTTACTATAATTCTCGAAACACTAATAAGTAGAGTTGGACTATTTCGTACGCCTATACTTAGTCGTTGAGCACAGGCACAGCTGGGACACCACTGAGACGGTGTCAGGGACTACAAAATTATGGTTGCGCCGGCTAATTATGATTTTGTCAAACAGGGTTGAATTTCCCACCATTTCATTAATCATGTTTCGTAAAAAGTCCACAATCGTAAGCACCTCAACTGCATGCATTTATGTATTGACATCTTCTGACCTTTACTACTACAGTATCATGTACTTGCTATAGCACACTATAAATAGTCGATGCCCATGACCAAAGTTAATCAAACCAAACAATTAACAGTCCCGCTTCCTCTATTCTATATACACTTTATTGGGGAAAGATGGGGAGGTTTTCCAAGCTTGTTGGGTTGTTTGCCGTGATGTTTGTAGTGGTGCTAGCAATAGCTGAGTGTCGCAAACTTGAGAAAGAAACATTCTCTGACGGCGGTTTGGGTGGTGGTGCTGGTGGGGGATTCGGGGGGGGTGTAGGAGGCGGAGGCGGTGCAGGTGGTGGAATTGGAGGTGGCAAAGGAGGCGGTGTAGGAGGTGGATCCGGGGGTGGTGCAGGAGGCGGAGTTGGTGGTGGAAGTGGCGGTGGGGTTGGTGGAGGAGCAGGTGGTGGTGCAGGTGGCGGTGCCGGAGGAGGTCATGGCTTTGGAGGTGGCAAAGGAGGCGGTGTAGGAGGTGGATCCGGGGGTGGTGCAGGAGGCGGAGTTGGTGGTGGAAGTGGCGGTGGGGTTGGTGGAGGAGCAGGTGGTGGTGCAGGTGGCGGTGCCGGAGGAGGTCATGGCTTTGGAGGTGGCAAAGGAGGCGGTGTAGGAGGTGGATCCGGGGGTGGTGCAGGAGGCGGAGTTGGTGGTGGAAGTGGCGGTGGGGTTGGTGGAGGAGCAGGTGGTGGTGCAGGTGGCGGTGCCGGAGGAGGTCATGGCTTTGGAGGTGGCAAAGGAGGCGGTGTAGGAGGTGGATCCGGGGGTGGTGCAGGAGGCGGAGTTGGTGGTGGAAGTGGCGGTGGGGTTGGTGGAGGAGCAGGTGGTGGTGCAGGTGGCGGTGCCGGAGGAGGTCATGGCTTTGGAGGTGGCAAAGGAGGCGGTGTAGGAGGTGGATCCGGGGGTGGTGTTGGTGGAGGAGCAGGTGGTGGAAGTGGAGGTGGTGTTGGTGGAGGAGCAGGCGGTGGTGCAGGTGGCGGTGCCGGAGGAGGCTTTGGAGGTGGCAAAGGAGGTGGAGGTGGTGTTGGTGGAGGCTCTGGGGGAGGTGTTGGTGGTGGAGGTGGTGCTGGTGGAGGTGCTGGTGGAGGCTTTGGGGGTGGGAAAGGTGGTGGTGTTGGAGGAGGAGTTGGTGGGGGAGGTGGTGCAGGTGGTGGTGCTGGCGGAGGTTTTGGGGGTGGGAAAGGTGGTGGTGTTGGAGGCGGTGCTGGTGGTGGCTTTGGTGGCGGTGCTGGCGGTGGTGGAGGAATTGGTGGTGGATTTTAAATCCCAAATTCAGCTATAGCCCAAGTTAGCCTGCAAAAGTCGTGTGTTATATGCTATCGTGCATGAAAATGTATTGCCCTTAAACTACAGAGAATAAATGAAGAGCTGTAACGTGCTTCACTTTTAGCTTTTATTTACATCTTCCATGCAAGCATTTTGTGATTCCAAGCTTTGGCCGAAACGACTACCATAACTAAACGTAAGAAGGCAAGAACCAAAATATTTATTAACACTCAAATAGAAAACCAACATTTATATATAGAAAGATAAAACTTTCTGATTTATAAAACCCGAAGTTGGAACAAGCAACTGCTGACATTACTTGCAGTACAAGCTGGAATCTGAATTGAGTAATAAGCTAGAAAGAATTAACATGAATTGGATTGTAGCTAGCAATTGATTGGATCGATAATGGATTTGGATAGAACCACATATCTGAATAATGTAACTTTTGATTATAATACAGAGTTATACATTTGTATATGGAAATAAATTATAGGGATTAATCAAACATATATGAGCCTCTTGCATTGCATGTTCGATCAATGTCGTAAACTCCCGGCTAATAATCTAATGATCGAGATTCATGAACAAACAAACATCAATTAATTCATAGCCACACTGGGAGCCATTCCTGGCCATTGATGAAGTCGATAGACAAGAAGGGGGCAGCTTCTTTTTCAGTGAGTTGTTTGGCCCATTCAGCTCGCCCTCCAGCCTCGGCTCCTGGCCCTTTGCATTTATATTCCGCGTGGTATAAGTTTCTGTACGTTTTCATAATCATCCCACAACATTCTGTGTTAGTCGACTAAAACTTTGGCATAATAACAACCAATACAAGGAAACAAATAACAACATGTTAGTGTGTGTGAAACGTCAGTAATCTCGGTTCGAATCCCAATAACACCTTATTAGTGTGTGTGAGAAACCCCCATCTCCTTGTAGTTTAAATTATCACTTATATTTTTAAAAACATGGACATGTTAGTTGGTTCTTACTCTGTACCGCCAGCATAGCTCCAATTGGTCCAGCCTTGAGGCACGACGGTCTTGGAGAGGTACATGTGTGCATAAACAACTCTGGAAAAGGCACCCTTGGCCCTGCCAAGATACACAGTGTCCCCAACACCATACAGTTTGCCCTGGTTGAACACAATCCCACTGTTCTCCTTCTCGCTCTCCCTATTTTGAGCTGTCACAGACCCCTTAATTGACACCCTTTTGTCTCCAATCACAAAGATCTCACACCCCTGCATTAATTGTATACATTTATATTAGTTTACTCTTGTGAAATTAACAATATGAAAACCCCCCCCAAAAAAAAAAAGAAGATAAATTGGAGTACTGATACTTACGTGGAAGATAGATTTACCACGTCCAAAGATGAAGTCGATTGAGCCTTGGATGTAGCAGTTATCATAATAATGCCTGCCCCTATAATCGAAGAGGGTGTTATGGGTACTGTAAAATGCACAATGGTAAAATGCTACTTTGTCTGCTGCCACAAATGCTGCCACTGACTGGTTCTGCGAGGTGTAAGCCACACCTGTGGGAGCCTCATTCTGCACATTCACTCATCATTCAATTATTTATATATATAGTGTAGTTTAGATTAACGCTTGTTTGACACTACTAGAATCCGATAAGAGAATGATTAAGTTTTTGCTTGCTTGAGAGTATCGTTTAGATTATCATTTGTTTGACAGTAAAAATCAGGCAAATGTTACATTCTTGACCTACGATTGCAAACGGGACTTCAATTGAAAAAGAAAAAAAGGGATCATCTAAGAACATTTTTAAATATACATATGTATGTAGAAAAAGGAAATGATGATGAACCTTGAAGCTAATCCCAAAGGCAATGAAGTGGGGAGCTTCGACGCTGAAAGTAGCAGATTCGACATTGTCCGAAGAGCTTTGGGACCAGACAATGGCGGACCTTCCCTTCCCATTTCCTCTCATGAATATATAGGGCTTACTACGTGGTACGATCACCTTTTCTCTGCCGGCCAAAACATATAATGCATTAGATAATGTAATACATAAAAAAAAAACTTATTAATTAATTCCAAAAGAGGCTCTAATTGATGGTGAATTACCTGTACACCCCTTTTCTAACATGGATGATGATCCACTTACTATTTCCTTCAGGAACAGAATCAATGGCAGCTTGAACAGATGTGAAATCTCCCTTGCCATTGATATCGACCTTGATGGTGCGGTTGGTGTGAATCTTTTGGGTCAAGAGGGGAGAGTCAATTACTTTTTGCGCAGTCAATCCATCGACAACATTTGTGAAAGTTACTGCGATGCAAAAAATGATTGCCAAGGTAATGAATGTTGTGGATGTAGACCCAGCCATGTTTTAGGGAGAGCAAAATCTTCAATTTGGGTCGAGAGTTTATATAGTGGGGTTTATTGTTGGCTAAACGAAATTCCATCTATTTTAGAGGGCCTCCGTTGGATTCTTGTCTGGTTTTTCTCTTTTGATTTGCTTAATGAGCAATTGAGGTTGGCACACGTTCTAAAATGGGAAGAGAAACATACACAAATGGCGTGCAAACACCGTTGTAGGTAGGTTTTAGCTCGTCCGTTTGTAACCGTTCAATATATGGCATTCTTAACATGATGACGTGGTAACCAAATTTTCTTTTGTTGTTTAACATGCAGACTGCATGTATACCATTAAATAAAGCAAAACTAATGCGGACAAAAGCCGCACTAAAACTACTAGCCCACACCACCACAATTAACCATAAGCCCAAACAAAGCCCATAAACCCAACATAACCAAAACCTTAGAACAACTCATGAACCTAGATGAACTCTACCACCACCACCTAAAGAAGTGTCGTTGTGGCCACACACCCACCACCTCATCCGTAACAGATATAGGGAAAATATGATTTCTAGTGATTTACTTGCACATAAGAGCGAACAAATACACGAAAACAACAACCTTGCCAAAGAACAATTGGGTGATTTGCAGCAGCCTCCATCAACGACAATGCAGAATTAAATTTAGAGAACATGAGCGACGTTAGGGAGCAGGATTTGATTGAGAATATAGACTAAAAAGGGTGATGAGAAACTTCAATCTAACCATGATTCAGAAGAAACAACCACAAGAGGATTTTTATTCAAAACGCCCTAGCGGACTTATTCACTAATCTAAAAGGAAAAGACGAGAAGAGATAAGGGGGAGGAGGGGCAGTGACGATTCTTCCTCCTCCCCCCTTTGTGGAGTTTTTCTTTAGGACTCACAGAGGGAGAGAACGGCTAGGGGTTCTTGGCAAATGAATAACTACTTGGTTGTATATGTTTATATTACCTATATATACATATACAGTTCTTCTCTTATGCGAACGTCCATACGTTATTACCGTGCAGACATCATTGTAAACATAGAGGAGAGCAAGGAGGGGTAGTAGAAAAAATATAGATATTTATTCAAAAACTCATTTTAGCATGACATATTATACAAAAACTCATATAGAGCCTATTTGGAGAGAAAAACTCAAAATTAGCCACTTGTTATTCTAATTGGTTCTTAGGGGGAGTGTATTCAATTAAGATTTTAAAAGAGTTTAAAAATCTAAGTGTATTCAATTAAGATTTTAAAAGAGTTTAAAAATCTAAGTGTATTCAATTAAGATTTTAAAAGAGTTTAAAAATCTAAGTGTATTCAATTAAGATTTTAAAAGAGTTTAAAAATCTAAGTGTATTCAATTAAGATTTTAAAAGAGTTTAAAAATCTAAGTGTATTCAATTAAGATTTTAAAAGAGTTTAAAAATCTAAGTGTATTCAATTAAGATTTTAAAAGAGTTTAAAAATCTAAGTGTATTCAATTAAGATTTTAAAAGAGTTTAAAAATCTAAGTGTATTCAATTAAGATTTTAAAAGAGTTTAAAAATCTAAGTGTATTCAATTAAGATTTTAAAAGAGTTTAAAAATCTAAGTGTATTCAATTAAGATTTTAAAAGAGTTTAAAAATCTAAGTGTATTCAATTAAGATTTTAAAAGAGTTTAAAAATCTAAGTGTATTCAATTAAGATTTTAAAAGAGTTTGTAAAAGTTTGGGTGTATTCAATTCATATTTCAATTGACTTTAAAAAAATACATCGAAATCTAGGTGTATTCAATTATGACTTTTTAGAAGTCAAAGAAAGTTTAGGTGTATTCAAAAAGTCATTTATTTTGAAGGAATTAATGAGTTGAGCAATTTCATTAGAATTTAAAGTGGTAAGTATAAATACAACGCCCTAACAAATCTTATGTCAACCCTAGAAACTTTGAGAGTGCTCTATGCTTTCCAGTCTTTGAACTTGTGTGCTTGTCAAGTGGAGGTAAAAAATCTCTTCTCTTTTTCTACTACGCTTTCATATATGTATGATCTCATTGATAGTATTCCCAATAATTGCGGAGGTAATAACATTTGGACATCGTGCTGGGTTGCTGTTTACAAATTTTGAGAGTGCTCTACGCTTTCCAGTCTTTGAACTTGTGTGCTTGTCAAGTGGAGGTAAAAAATCTCCTCTCTTTTTCTACTACGCTTTCATATATGTATGATCTCTCATTGATAGTCTTCCCAATAATTGCGGAGGTAATAACATTTGGACATCGTGCTGGGTTGCTGTTTACAAAAAGCTCTCCCTAAGGATGGTACTCAGAGGCATTACCGAACTTGTGGACCTTGTCAGCTTTTATTAATTAATTTCAATGTCAATTAGTTTAAGTGGAGCCTGCCCTGATGAAGAGAGCTGAGACTTCACAAATAAGATAGGAGCGTTGGGTTGGGTCCAAAACAATACAGTTGCATTGCAGTGATCGGTCTATTCTTTTGCGCTGAGGTGTTGACATGCATTCTCTATGAGAACAAACCACTCAACTCAGTCAAACCCATAAGATCTACAATGGCACTAACAAAATAAAGATCTACAATTGTAAAACAGCCTCATGATATTCTTGTGTGATCAGTCTCTAGTATTCTCCGCTCGACACCTGTCTCTACTTTTGACATTACATTTCTGGATATTTGAATATACATCGATTAAAAATTTAAAACCATGCTTGCCTTTTCTTTTGTAAAAACAAAACAAAAAACATGGCTTTCCCATGAACAAGTGAGTGATGCCGTGTTCATTTACTTCGGCAGTTGCAGGTCATTTCCAAACCAAAGCACCAAACTATATGCAGTGTGCATGTGAGAGGGAGAGGGGCGATGTACCAAACTCAAATGTACAATGCAGTGTGCACTTGAGAAGGGCGATATACTAAACTCACAAACCGTATAGTTTGTGATCAAGCTCAAATTCAGGGAGCAGTAATGCCTCAAATCCAATTAAAGTTACAAGAATAAATATGCAATAAACATTTAAAATGTGGGGGGGTTGGATAAGATCAACCCATCAAAGGCATTGCATGTTTGATTTTGACAACACAAAATGCCAATCAAAGTTTGCGGGGAGAACCACCACCAACCAACCATGGAAAAGCTTTACTTCCTGATATTGACCAACAGATAATTAATAAGTGGGCTCGCGTTGTCGTCGAAGTTTTTCTTGTTTTGTGGTTCGTATGCTTTTCTTCTCCTAATAAAATCGCGTCTTTTATTTTTTTCATTGAACTTTTGCCTGCTGCATTATTTGGATTCTGGTTGGAATTTTAAGTCTAGTCCACCGCCAGACTCAACTGCTCATTATGAATTAGTCGGACACATGCTCTTGAAACCAACCCCTATATGCTCTCACACGTTTTTCTTTTTGTGTTTTTGATAAATTATTTTTGCACATGTATCAAACCGTGATTAGAGAAGGAGGCAAACCATATCCTTAACATGAAGGGTGAACTTGACATTCACCATGGTAAAAGGGTGGAATGTAAATTGTAATTAGGGTAGGGTTTGGTTATAATTACTTACCAACTGGGTTTGTGTAAACAAAATAAAATTTGCAGAACAGAATATTAGTGGCAAACTATAAGTAGAACTCTAGCATTTACTTCACAGGATAAGCTGCCACTGGAAAAGGATAAATTGTTTATCAGATAGATGGCAATCAATCAATGTATTATTAATCGTAATGAATAGAAAGCAATCATTTTGCATGGCATTGTCAAGAACAATTCGACATCAAATATTTAATCATCCATGTGTTTAATTTCCATCACTGTTCTTATTACAGTACCTTTTTCTTTTTCACAAATTAAAGCTGTTTTGTATTAGCAATTACTAAAAGCCGTATAAGTTCATAATTGCATTACAATTATAAAAGAAAATTGATCCCTCCACTGGAGGTAAATTGGACTGGCATCCTTTAAGTTCACGTACTGCTACTGGTGGTGATAGAGTCCTCTGTTTTCTGAGAGTCAGAGCAGCAGCATTGAAGTTCACATAGCCAATCATCACAATGGATCTGAGAGCTATAGTGGTAGGCATATCTCTGTTTGTGTTCAGCATTGGAGCTGAAGGGCAAGGGCTTTCTTATAATTTCTATGAGAACTCATGCCCACAAGTTGAGGCCATTGTTAGAGCTGCCCTCCAACCTATTTTTCTCACTGATCCCACTGCTCCTGCAGCTCTGTTGAGGCTCATGTTCCATGATTGCCAAGTTCAGGTCTTTTTTCTTTCTCTCTCTCTCTCTCTCTCTCTCTCAGTTTAGGAATTTGAGACATAGGTTAGTTGAGATATAAGCCCAAACATTGAGGGTGAAGTGCGTGGCTTAAAAATAGAAACTCTGCAGTCTATTTTTTATTAGTTATATTTTTTCAATAAATGATGGTTTGATTTTGTAACAACAGGGCTGTGATGCTTCAATTCTTGTGGATCCAAATGAGAAAACTGTGTCATCTGAAATGGCTGCAGGGAAAAACTTTGGTATCAGAAAGAGAGAGTCAATCAACATTCTCAAGGCAATGGTTGAATTGGAATGTCCCCAACAGGTTTCTTGCTCTGACATTCTTGTCTTGGCTGCTCGGGAGGCAGTGGCTGCGTCAGGAGGGCCAGAGATAAAGGTTCCTTTGGGAAGAAGAGACTCTTCTGTTCCTCCAAACTATAAGCTTGCAGATTCTTTGCTTCCTTCTGCTGCCATTGGAGTTGATGGCATGCTTCAACTATTTGCAAAGAAAGGGATGACAGTTGAAGAATCTGTGGCCATAATGGGTAGCTACATGAACTTAAAAAGTGCTTTTTCAGAAAACCAACCCTTTTTGTTTAAAATTCTTTTTATGAAACTAACACGTCCAAAAACATATTATTGCAATTTTGCAGGAGCGCACACACTAGGGGTGACACATTGTTTGAACATTCTAAATCGTCTAAGCGGACTTGATCAAGGTGGGCGTGTAGAAGGCATGGCGCCCATGTTTGAAGCATTCCTCAGGATAAACTGTCCTCAAGGCTCTTTGACATCAAATGCAAGCTTCGTTCTTAATGACCCTACAACACTTACATTTGACAACCACTACTACAATAATGTAATTAGAGGCCATGGGGTACTTGGAGTTGATGCTGAAATGGTGATGGACCCGCGCACAGCTCTCGCTGTCAAGCGATTTGCTGCTGATCAGGATGGTTTCTTTCAGGCATTTTCTTCTGCCTTTGTCAAGCTCTCTAGCTCTAGTGTCCTGAGTGGGAATCAAGGTGTTGTTAGAAAGATATGCAATGCACTGGACTGAGAGTCAAAGGTGTTTGTTAATTTAAATTGCAATACCATTGTTGTTACCAAAAATTATTCAGTTCATGTTGAATTCGAATCTTCATTGCTTTCCAAACTTTGGATCAAGAAGATTTACTTTTTATTTTTCAATATATACATACATTTATTTCTTTTAGGCTCGTTCCATGTTCAAATCCTCTGTTTTGTTCTGATTAAAATACGATCCATTAAGCCTATGAGCAATAAAAGGCCCAACAAAAACAAGAACACAACCCCGAAACTCAAAAGCAAAGGCCACACACCGAAAATTATACAAAGCAAAACTAAAATTTGTGTAGCAACCTAAACCCAGGATTTCCTAACTAAAGCCAGACTAATTTCCTAAAAAAGAAAAGGAAAACTAAAGAGATACGGTACGGATGGTGGCTTAACTTAATTTTATGTCTCTCCCTAATCCTGTAATGAGACTCGAGCGTTAATGTATTGAATAGCCATGTAGTTTGCAACAAATGCGAAACTTAAACCCAAGCTATGACTTTTGAAGAATTTCAAGAGAATGTTGGAATTATAATGACTCAAATCCTTGGCCTGATTTTGGCTTGTGTCATCTCTTAGTTGCGGTATGTAGATTTTGTCACACGAATCTGAATATGAATTTAATCTATATTACCCAACCCCTTCAGAATGACCATCTAATTCTAGGGCCATGTAATCCATCTTCATGAAACGATTACAATGAAAACAATTATTTAAAAAATCATAAAAACTAGAGAATAGTATTTCTAAAAGAAGAAACAAAGAAAAAACAAACTAAGAAAATAAATGAACAATTGTCTGAGGCTGCCACTTGCGCGTGAAAAAAAAAACACCAAAGAGCTTTTGCGCGTGGCTTTAAGTTTTGACAATTAAAAAAAGAAAAAGAAAATTTAAAAAAAAGAAAGAGAGGGAGAGAGATAGAGAGAAGAAGAAGAAGAAGAGAGACAAGGGAGAGTGTGAGGTGAAAGAAGGAGAGAGAAAAGTATGATGAGGAGAATATAATATTAAATTAGTTCAATAATCATTAAAGTTGAGGTTGCCACTTGCGCGTGAAAAAAAACACCAAAGAGCTGTTGCACGTGTCTTTAAGTTATACATATCAAAGTTGCAATACTATTGAATTGAAATGAAGTTTCACCTTTAGTATCTGCATTTTAATTATTTATGTACATACTCCTTGTGCTTTCAAACTTGTCTCAGATTACCACCCGGATTTTAAAACGTTTCAAAGTACCCCCCACGCTTTTAAAAACGGTCTCACGTTACCCGTTCTGTCAGGATTATTGACGTTCCGTTACAAGATTTGGGCCCCACTTTGTTTTAATCTTTAACCTTTGCGAATAAGGGTTTTTTCACTTTCAGAAGAGAGGAAAGAAGAGAGGAAAGATGGTATTTGGGTGAGAAGGGAGAATTTGGAGAAGGAGGCTAGGGCTTATCAAAAGCTGTGGTAGGGTTTGAATTTTGGGAGAATCTGGAGAAGAAATCACGGGTTGATAAAACTCTGAGGTGGAGTTCGAAATTGGGAGATTTTGGAGTAGAAGATTAGGGTTTATGAATCTCTGAGTGGAGTTCGGATTTAGGAAAAGGGGAAGGGGGTTGCACGATTTGGGAGAAAAGGAGGAAGTGGGTCGCACGATTTTGGAGGTTCAGTTGGTTGTTCTCTCTGTGAATACACACTGAATTGAAGAAGAGATGGAAACAGGAGAAGCAAGGCATGCCCAATGGTGTGATTGTGGGAAGTTAGCACGGATGCAGACTTCGTGGACCAGTTCAAACCCAGGGCAGAGATTTCTAGTCTGCCCAAAGTCAAAGGTAAGAATGTTTAAGATCAAATTTTCAATCATTGTTTTGGGCATCACAAATTGATAGAGTTCTTATTGATGAAATTTCCAGTCATTGATGAAATTGATGAAATATTCAGTCATTAATCAAATGGATCAAATTTTCAATCATTGTTCTTGGTTGATACAGGGAAGTGGTGAAAAAGGATGTATGTTTTTTCAGTGGTTTGATGCATAAATGTGTGAGCGTTCAAAGTCTTTGATACCTGGTTTGCTGAGGAAGATTGATAGGGTGGAGAAGGAAAATGCAAAGATTCGAGCAAAGTCAAAAATATTGTGGGCTGCTGTGTTGCTTTCCTGGGTGGTGGTGTTTGCCATGAAGATGAATTAGGATGAATTATGAGGATTTAAGAGTAATATGTTTTGTAATTTGGTGGGTGTAATGTGATTGAGAAGCAGTAGTTCAGTGGGCTGTAATTTGAGAACAAATGCTAATGTAATGTAGCAGTAGTTCAATTGGTGTAATATAATGTATTTTGGTGGGAAAACAATGTAATATGTTTTGAGTTTTATGAGTAAGCATTAGTTCATTGTAATATTTGTTTAGAGTTTAGAGTTTATATATATATATATATATAGATATATATGTTTGCTTACTATTCTTTTCACATAACTAGATTAATTAAAGTTCTTTGATTTTACATGTTTATTTGGTAGGTCAACACCTTATGCCACCAATTGATGAGCGTTGATTAAGGTGTGCAACACTAACTACATCAGATTGGCTTACGCCATATCAAGATCGTATATGTAAGTTTAGATATGAAGTTGGTGTATGTGAGAGTCCGTTTCTTAAATGTTGATTAAAGAAAAATAAATGTTATTATATATTCTTAAGTAATTATCTTGATAAGAAGGAAATGTATATTTATAATTATTTTACGTTTATAATACCATTTCAATAGTTATATGTATATTATTTCACTAAATATTTATATATACATATGCTCTTTTGAATAAAAAAAAAAAGGTTTGTTTAAACTATATATTTGTTCATTATTCCCTGGAATGCCATCTAATGGCTATTGGGTGCATTATATCCACACACACACACACACACATATATATAAATATATTAATTTCATTGGTTAAGAGCTTCGACGTGGCATCCTTACATTGTTTTCTTGGAGAGAAAGATTGTTCTCTCTTAGAGATATTTAGATTAGAATGCTGGAGGTGGCTTGTTTTCCATTAAGTTAGTTGATGCATTACCATGCATTTGGACAGCTCATGCTTACAATTTGGTGAGTAAGCTTCCTTTTAGCTTGAGGTGGAGTTCATAATTTCCATAGGTGTCACAACCCTTAGGAATGAAATCTCCTAGCGTTGACACATAGCAGCTTATATAAAGACTGGCAACCAAGTTATCTGTTTGTATAAATAAGATAATGGCATTTGTTACTATCCTCTCCTTTTGTTACCGCCATCTCACCATCTATAAATAGGATTGTTAATGAAAGGAAGAGATATCTTGCAAATAGAAGAGAAAAATA